CGTTCGGGGAGGGTGGTTGCACTGGGTCTCCTTCTCGGGATTTGGAGAAAACGCTCTCCGCTGACATATTAAGTTGATTAATGCAATCTTCAGATAAATACGGGAAATAAGCAGCCGGAAAGCCAAGGAGCGGCTCGGCGCGCGGGTGGAGGCTGGGCTCGTCGCCGCGCGCTGTGTGTTCTCCGCCGCTCGTTAACATGCACAACCGGCAAGACAACTCTCCAGAGGACGACCCCAAGCGAGGGTCTATCATTAATCAACTTCAAGCAAACACAGCAAAGAGACACCATGATACATGCTTTAAACTCCAAATTAATGCATATTTTTACAAACTGTCAATAAGGGAAGAAAAGCCCTGCCAGGAAACACAAACAGAGAGGAAAAGGCTCGCTCAACACAACAATGTGATAAGAAAGCACAGTCCTAACGAGAATAATAACGCTGTCAGCTGTAAACAAGGCAGAACATGATCCCCAGCTCATGGTGGGCACAAGGATGTACTAAAGAGATGAGATCTGCCAAATTTCTCATTACGGAAGAGCACATGAATAACCCGCAGGGGAACGGGGCTTGGTCATTCAAAACGGGTATGATAACAATTGAAAAATGTTGTTCGTAAATCATATTTACAAAAAATCCTATACAAATACAAATTACTCCTTTTTTTTTTTTTGATTCGGCAGCTTTTGAAATGTAAAATAGCCATGTGAGTCAATAGTGTCTTGTTGGTGGGACTTCATAGGAAAGTAGGATTTTATTGACATTACCGAGTATTAATAATGCGACACAGCAATGGAGACCCTGTTTGCTTCCTAAATAATTGATGTTGTAGGCAATCCCTTAAAATAAAGTGTTAATGAGTTCAAGTCCCACTCTGTCTCTCACTGAGTTGATGTCTACACCTCCTAGAGTCTTGGTTATTCTCCACGCGGTCTGGTTTAACCCTTTCACGCGGGCTACGCAAAAACCTAATCTGAAGGGCAAACATTCATCGCAAGAACTTCGTCTCTCCTCGCGCAGCTTTGCTTCAAAACCAACGATTTAAAATAGCGGCATGTCATGTTTTGTGCAGGTAGGAACGACAAGACTTTTTGCACTCCGTTGCACGGACAGACAGGAGGAATACATCTGCTAATAGGGAAAGGTACTCCGTACCCAGTGCACCAACCTTGCCTACTGCAGGCGATGGGCGTGGATCAGCCGCTCGCTTGTACAGCGTATATCGTATAAAGCTACGTCGTACCCCGTTTATTTATTTCAGTCGGAGACTGGATCAGTTTGGGAAGCGTCTAAGCTGCTGACTACGCGCACTTCTCGTGTAAGCCGTGAATGCCTTTCAAACCCCGGCACGTCGCACCTTCTCGAGTTGGAAAGTGCTGGATCGATACCTGGGTATTAACTGCCCCTTCCAGCCAAGGACCAGCGGGGAGACGGGATGCCGTCACCGAGGAGGATCCATACACCTTTTGACATAGTTGTTGAAAAGGGGAAACAACAGGGAGGAGAAGAGTCCAAAAGCAGAGGTTAAGAATTGGCTAACCGCTGAAGCACCTGAAAAGTCGCGCCGAAGCCAATGAGCTAATCGCACTCTCCAAGGTACGCGTGTGCGAACTGACTTTGTGGCTTGCGGCCTGAGCGAACACAAAAAGATGCTGATTATATTCGCAACCTGAAAAACTTACATTATGAATAGGCTGTGGGGCCCTCACTTGGGGGAAAACGTGAAACGAAAAACAGAAGAAAAAAGGGGAAAGGGTGGTTAGGCCTAAAAGACCGAAAAAGCACGCGCTACTCTCTTCACGGCGGTCATCTTTTTTACCGCTGCCTTCATTTAAAAGACTGGCTTGTCGGCTTTCTGCTGTTGATGTTGTCGCCCGGCTCGTTTTGCTCTTTGAATTGTTGCTTTTGAAAATGCAGATGGAAAGTTTTCGCAGGCCCCAAGAAGAACGCGCTGCTCAGGGAGCATCGGCAGGCAGGGGGGCGCTTCCTCCAAGGCAGCTCTGGGACCCTTCCCCGATATCCCCTTGCTGCCCAGCGCTCACCGGGCAGTTTTTTTCCGATCCAGACCCGCCTGCCGCCTTTGGGTGCTGCAGCGCGGGGCTCGCGTCACCCAAACGCGGTGGGTCACCCCTGGGGATGCAACCCCCAAGGGGGGAGAATGAAAGAAAATAAATAAATAAATAAATAAAAGCCCCAACTCCCCCCCTTGCAGACTCTGCCGTTGCAAGCGAGGAGGGAACCGGACCGGATCGGCGCTCGCGCCCGCGCTGCGCAACGGCTGCCAACAGGGAGACGTTCGCCTCTCTCCAGCAACTCCGCATCCCTATTTACCGCCCTCCAAAAATCCTGAAATCTGGGGAAAGAAAAGCTAGTCACTACTAGAAGGTAACGACCAGGGTAGGCAAAAAAAACCCCAAAAAACAAACAAAACCAAAAACAAAGTAGCTCCCATTTCTTTTTTATAATAGCAGGATTTCAGCACGTTCCTTTCCAGCGGACGCCTACGACTCCAGAAGGGGTTAACAATAAATAACCTTGCTGAGCACAGATTCCCCTTCTTTTCACATCTGAGTAATTCCTTTGTTTGTCCACTCTGGGAACAGAGGAGTTTTTAATAAAGCTGACTGTTGTTTAAGGCCACTGTGTTCTGGCGGTGCACACAGCATGGAGCGGTTTGCTTTGTGGCTACCTTCGGAGCATATCAGGATGAAAGTGTTATGTCCCCAAGCTGTAATTATGCGACTACTTTCTAGTGTTTCAAAAGGAGAGAGAGAGAGAGAGGGAGGGAGGGAGGGAGGGAGGGGGAAAAAAAAAACCCCTAGCTGCGGTTCAATGTGTCATAAAAAGGAAACGAATGAGCGGTAATAAGACTTCAGCTAAAGTGTTAGACTTCTTAGCTGTCATGTTAACAAGGTCCTCTAAACCTTACAATAAAGTTTAAAGCTTGATTTATTCTAATATACTGAAATTGTTTAAAAAATAATTTGCATTCTGACAAGGAAATCTGTTCCGAGGAAGAGCAAAATCAAGAAGGTCATTAGCGAAGCACGCGTGCTGAAAGCAAGGCGTCTGGGAAGCTGGGGCTGGCTCTTTAGTCGTATTTAGTAAACAGGGTAAATCGTGTGACGCCCTCGGAGCCCTTCAGACTACGCAGCAAGGCCGCGCGAGCGGGGAAGCTCAGGAGCGGGTACTGCAACCTCCCCCAGCCACACCTTACCGAAGCAAAAAGAGACGTTCGGCAGAGAACACACATGCTACCAACTCTGAGAAAATGAAACAATCATTTCCATATTACAACAGAAAATTGGATTTTCTGGTGGGTAATGAGAATGAGGCTTCCCTTCCCCCTGCCCTTCTCCCGCCCCGGTGTTTGCTCTGGGCCCCTCACCTTGGTATCAGTGTGCGAAGAGATGATTATTAAGTGCAACACAGGCCACCGCCATGCACAGTTCTGCAAAACGTCCTAGCCTGTTTTAAGTTAGTTATTTTTCCCTCCTCACAGTCTCTTCAAAGACAACGAAACCTTAGGTGAAACGAGAAGTGCGTGAACTGCACCAGCTTTTGAACTTACAAAAATAATTACTTGGATCAACGCAACTTCATAAACGTTCATCCCCGTCTCTTAGGCCAGGAGAGACCCTTGGGAGCAGCCTTGTTTCTGGAGAAAGCCCACGTCCCTCCGCTCCGGCCCTCCGCGGTCACGGGCAGAGCATAACAAATTGTGACTAAAACTGCCTCAAGACGAATGCGCCCGTGATGGACTGGAAGCGTGTCATGTAACGCTGCTTTGGGAAGGATAATTAATACTGCACAAACAATCACTGGAAAAGCTAAACACGTTATTTGAGTGTTTTGAAGTAAATGGTGAAAGACAATGTTTAAATTAATTATTAATTAAAAATGAATGTTGCCATCTTTAAAGCTTATTTTTCAAAGCACATTGTGCACTGATTTAAAACGCTGAAATATCAAAGTATCCGGAGCTTCAGAGTCCTTCGTGCCCCCTCCCCTCTGACAACACATTATGCAGGTGGGAAACTTTTTTGCCGCTAAATGCTAATTAGTTTCACAACTAATTACTACAGTGGTATTAGGTTAATGTTTTTTTCTACTTTTGGATTGAGACTTACTTTTGTAAATCCCTTATCCAAATTACTTTGAAGGAAAAGACTACAAAGTAGTTCCTCTTTCCACGGCGTGAGGTGGGCTGCGGCCGGGCGGCCAACAATTTTACAGCCCGCTGTAATGACCGGCCGGCAGAAAGGCAGCGCGGCTCCCGCACGCCTGCACTCGCACAGGTAGCCGGCTGCCCCACGTAGTCTGTAAAACCTGAGACTTGCAAGACTTAGTAACTCCGGCTTCCTTTCCAGCCACCAATTATTTGGTGTTTTTTTGTTTTTTTTTTTTGGGGGGGGGGATTTACAGCTTTGCAAGCTCACTCCGTCACCCCAAAAATACCGCACGCACCCACAAGGGCAGCGAACCCGTCCTGCCTTACCCTTCCCGGCGCGCGCTCGCTGCCCCGGTGCCGTCCGCGGCTCCACGCGGCGAGTTATATATGCGCTCATTACACCGCCGTCTGTTGCTATAATGCTCCTATTAATTTTCCTTTTGATATTTTAAGAGCAATCTATAAATCATGCAGACCTTCGCGTGTGCCATCATTAACGCTCGGCGACACCGCCGCGCCTCCAGTAATTTTTTTTTTCCCCCCTCTTTTTTTTTTTTTTTAAAAAAAAAAAACCCCCCAGAACAAAAAAAACCTGCCCCCACAACCCAGCTCTGTCCCACCGGGCGCGACAGAAGCGGAAAGGGACAAAAAAAAAACGTTCTCAAAGAAACGCAGTTGGCCCAAGAGGTTGTGTAACCTTGCGGTCCGGGACTTAAAGCAGAGGGTTTGCAGGCGGGTGAACGATTTCACAGCTCCGCGTGCTCGTCGGGCTGGGTTGAGCCGACTGGTTTTACGCGCAAGTTGGTTAAAGGCCCGTTTGCGCTCTAACCAAGCGCGTCCCGAGGTGGAGACTGCCGCTTTTCGCTGCTCGCTCGAAGAACCTGAGGAACAAAGTGCGAAGGAAGGGACTCCAGAGCCGCGCGTCAGTACTTACATCGCTTGCATAGGGGAACGTCCTGGACTACTGTCACTCCCGTTACTGTTCGTATGCTCCATTGCACCGTTGAGCTCTTCCCTCATCGCGCTGGCTAAATTGCCCAGAGTGGGATTTCCCATGGAAGCAGTAGTGTATAGAGGTATACTGTTCTCAGCCATTGAAGCCTGCCAAGGACACAAACAAATCTGTGAGCAGCCAGGACTAACGTTTCTATACGTTGCACAACACAGTCGCTCATTCCAAAACATGCTCCAACATGCTCCGTTATTTGCCATTACTGTCTTTTTTTAATATTGTGCTTTCTGATAGGTAATACGCTGATTCCACCAAGGGAAATTCAACATAATTTACATCTGGATTGATGCATTCGTGGCTGTATTGGCTTGTGAGAGGGAACCGAGCTTTCCACTCCCTATTTGGAATTGCACCTCCTGGAAAAAATAAAATGTGTTCTTCCTATTTTCGGTTTGCAAAATTATGTTTGGGGCTTCGGGGTTTTATTTTTTTTTTAATGTCTCTCTTTTTTTTTTTGGTGTTGGTTTTTTTTTTAATGAAAGGTTAACGAGGGAAAAAAATCAGAGCTCGCTTCAGCTGAGAACCCCCTCCGGCCAGAGCGAACAGGCGCCAAGGAGGAGGGCAACGCTCGGGAGTTTTGTTTCCGTCGCGACGCAAGGGCAAAGCCACCCTGAGCACCGACCGCACCACCTGCAGGTGCACCGATACACCCGAAAACCGAACCTGCCCGTGTGAAAATTCTCACTGGAGAGGAAACCCAAAATCTAACGCATCCTGACAAACCCATCGCCCTTTTAGGCATTAACACCTCAGCTCTCGCACGCCTGATCGTCTTATTTAGGCTTTTGCCTTGCTTTAAGCAACTGCCGCGCGCAGGCACGCTGGGGTTAACTTTCTAACTGGCAGCCTTGGCAGAAAGAGGAGAACCCGTGTGAAAATTCTCACTGGAGAGGAAACCCAAAATCTAACGCATCCTGACAAACCCATCGCCCTTTTAGGCATTAACACCTCAGCTCTCGCACGCCTGATCGTCTTATTTAGGCTTTTGCCTTGCTTTAAGCAACTGCCGCGCGCAGGCACGCTGGGGTTAACTTTCTAACTGGCAGCCTTGGCAGAAAGAGGAGAAATGGTTAAATATTTCCCTTCTTATTCCCACCGGCCGGCTCCCGGCACGCAACTGCCGGCGCCCGGCCCCGACGCGTCCCGCGCGCTTCGAAGAGCCGCTCTAACCGGGAGGCGGGTAGAGCTGGGGCAGGAGGAGTTATCTGGGGGATTTTGGGGGTTTTTGGTTTTTTTTTTTTTTTTTTTTTTGGAAGCCACAAGC